CCTCTATATCCGGATGGTGAGGTTTAAGACCAATGATCTTGAAAATCCCCACAACTCTCCAATCTTATCTTGGAATTAGCAAAGTAATATTAATTTTGCAGTTTCATAATCTGCCATGAGATATTCTCACCTTCCACTCCATCTGCTTGCAGACCTCGCAGTGTGAACCATTGCACTTGGAACCAGAAATGCTTACAAGTTAAGTTTTCTTTCGCACAGTGAAAAAAAAAAAATTAAAGTGCCGAGAGTGTTTCATCAGTTCAAATTAACATTTGGACACGGGAAAGCCGTGATGCATTGGTGCAAGAGGCAGTCAGCAGTCTTCATTCTGCATGCCATCCAATCTCCTCAGAATTGGGGTGGAGGGTGGGGGTAGAAGCCACGCTCTGAAATCAAATAAACTAAAAAAAATTGCAGAATACCTTGGAGGACATTTTAATTTTTCACCTGTTTTTCTAATTCGAGGCAAGGGAGGAGGTGTGTGGAAAGATGCCTTTGCATTTCCTTCTGCACCCTGAGAGCTGTAAGGTGCTTGATTCTTGCCTTCTTGGCGGGGTTTTGGGGGTTCTGGCAGCGCTGGGGCAATTCCTGTCCTGTGCTCGGGAGAGATTCCTGGTGGTGCTGGGGTACCCAATGCCTAGGATGGACCTGGGGTGCATGCAAAGCAAGCACTTACCTCCTGAACCATCTCCTGATTCCTCGTTGCCTTTTATCTGGCTACTTCCCCCCAGGGGTCCAGTTTGGGTAGATGTGGTTATTTCTAGAGAGGCCCAGTCAGCCCAATCCCAATCCTCAAACTCTAAAGATCAGAAAATTTCATCTTTGAAACCCTAACTCAAGAACAACTTCTAAGCTCTAAAGAAAACCATTTGTTTCTTAGGCACCAGGCCAGGGACTTATTTATCTAATGGATGATCTTTGCTTGGGTGAAGCCACATTGAATTTGATCCACACAAAACTCAGAGCCCTCTTAAAATGTGGGTGGCAGGAGCAAATGAGTTACAACCAATTTGATGGATTCTCCCCCTCTCTCCCCCCCCCCCCACTCCATTACACCTTCCTCACAACTGCCCACAGGCTCGGTCACTTCTGGAACAATGCCACTGGCCCCAGGCCTTGGCATTTGAAACCTAGCTGGAGACAGAAGTCCACAGCTACCCTTCTTCCTAGTCTCTTCATTCTACCAGCAGACAGCGTGGAACAACTGCTACTCTACCAGGGAGCTGGGCACCGTGTATACCCAGAAGATAAGCTTGGCTTTGAGCTGAAGCAGAGAAAGGGCAGGTGCGGGGAGGGATCAGAGGACAGCTTGAACGCTGACTGCATTAGAAGGTGATGTATACCTGCCTCTGTGCCTGTGCTTCTAGTACAGGTTCTCTGGGTGTGGTCCTCAACTTGTAGCATCACTTGGACACTGTACAAAGGGTCTTGGTCTCTAGCCCCAACACCTACTGGATCAGAACCCATCTGATTAGAATAAGCCCTTCCTGGTGACGTAGAGATCCATTTTGTTTTGAGCTCTGCTGGTCTAGGACATGTACCCACCACCCGTGGACCAAACATGGCCTGCCATAAGTTTTTGTTGTTGTTGTTGTTAACGAAGTTTTATCGGAACATGGCATTTGTCTGTACTCAACAGTTACATCCAGTTAACAGACTCCATGACTCCCCAAACCTAACTATGGAGGATCTGACCTAGACAGGAGTGTGAAGCATGGCAACTGGCACTGGAGCAGATAAGACCCGACCTTGCAAAGTGGCCCAGAAACGAAGCCTCACAAGCGGGAGTTTCTGGGTAAAGTTGGCAAGAACAGGGTGTCAGCACCAGGTGTTCAGCTTTGAGCCTCACTCAACCTCCTACTCATATGCACCAAAGACCGCAAAATGTAGCTTTGATTGGGATTGGACCGGGGCAAAACAGAGTAGGAGAGGGAATAGGCCAATTTTGCTGAATTTTAAGGGATTGGACTTTCTTGTAAGCCAAGGTCCTCTACAAAATATGTGTGTACTTGGTAATAAAGTGAACAGCCATTGGCTGCTCCTGGAGGGTGTTTCTCCACGCGCCTGTCATCTTTCACCCCACATCTGCTTGGACCCAGTGCACAATGAGTCCGGGCTTATTTGGGAAAGCTGTTCCCCAACACAGGGGCAGTTGACCAGACTTCGCCTTCCCTGCCCACCAGAGGCTGCGGTGGGCATCCTGCTTCTGACACCAGCAGTGATGGCTGCTGAGTGCCCTTGATGGCCTCACTGTCTAATTCTCTCCTTCTCTGTTCCTCTGGGCTCACCGTGTCAGTGCCTCATGACCTGCATGAGTTGCCCTCCGAGGAAGGCCCAGACTGGCAAGCAGACCGTATTCAAATCTGTCACCTGTCCACGATGAAGGACACATGGCTGGTCACTTCACTGACTACAGCCACGCGTGACTTCCTCCTGCTGTGTGCCTGAGAGACCAGTCCCACGCTCCACCCCACACAGGTGATGGGTTCAGGGAGGGGAGGCCGAGCCCATCCACAGCAGGACATGGAGGCTTCCAGGGAGCAAGGTACCTATGGGCTCTCTCCTCCCCAGCCGGCCCAGAGCCCACATGCTTCCCCGAGTGGGCAATGGCCTTGTCTCTTGGGGCCAGGGCAGGAGAAGTCAGGATCGTTGTAGCTGCTGCTTGAGGCTGAGTGAGAGGTGCCAGCCGTGGGCCCATGGCTCTAGGGGTCCTTCTTACTGCCTCCCCACCCACTGCTCTAGGGGCCTGCTTACTGCCTTCCCCACCAAACGCCTCTTGCACCAGGCACCAGGGGTGAAATCAGTCTAGCAGTACATAAAGGGTCTGTGTGTGTGTGTGTGTGTGTGTCTGTATCTGTGTGTGAGAGACAGAGACAGAGAGACAGAGAGAGACAGAGACAGAGATAGAGACAGAGTCAGAAACAGGGAGAGAGAGACAGAGAGAGAAAGAGAGAGAAAGAGAGAGACAGAGACAGAGAGAGACAGTCATAGACAGGGAGAGACAGAGTCACAGACAGGGAGAGACAGAGACAGAGAGAGAAAGAGAGACATAGAGAGACAGAGAGACACAGAGACAGAGAGTCAGAGACAAAGAGGAACAGACAGAGACAGAAAGAGACAGAGAGACAGAGTATGAGACAGGGAAAGACAGAGACAGAGAGAGATACAGAAACAGAGACAGAGACAAAGACAGGGAGAAACAGAGACAGAAGCAGAGAGACAGAGAGATAGAACAGAGAGAGAGAGAGAGGGAGAGAGAGAGAGAGACTCATAAATCAGATAATTCCCCCAAATGGTCAATTTGCTAACCTTTTAAAATTTGGTTACCAAATAATCTTTTTTAGAGATCAATAGATAAAAGTTGCTTTTTCCTTGATTCTTTGAGCAAGTGAAGCAGATGTTAATCTTGTGTGATTACATAAGAACAGGAGATAGTGAGTCACCTCAGAGAACTGACAGCACAAACATGCAGACCCTGGGCACTGCAGTGCAGAACTAATCACCAAACAGAGCAGGGAGATGGCGAGGGTGCAGAAGCCCAGAATATTAGAGATTTAGATCAGAAGAAGAGGGGAGGGTTTGGACCCCTTGGTGGTTGGGAGGGGGGTGTAGTTATCTTGTATCCTTATACCATAAACGTTAACGCTATTGTAATAATCCAAATGATAATAAAAATTTTTTTAATGGAAGAAAAAAAGAGAAGAACTCAAAGAAAACCCAGTGTGCGGGGTTGGAGAGATGGTGCAGCAGGTAGGGCACTTGCCTTGTACGTGGCCAGCCCAGGTTTGGTTCTAGGACCCCCACATGGTCCCCTGAGCCCTACCAGAAGTAATCCCTGAGCACAGAGCCAGTAGGAAGCTCTGAGCACTGCATGGCGTGGCCCAGAAAACAAACAAACAAAAAGCACAAAAGCAAAGACAGCCTGGTGTGGACTTCTAAGTCCAAGGCCCCTGGAGCAGATGGGAACACATAGACAGGCCTCAGGGTTACTTCTCAGGGACCTGCATGCTGAAAAGCTTCCACAGAAGACGGCGGGGGGCTGGAGTGCCTGCTTTGCATGTGGGGGTCCAGGGTTTAATCCCCAGTACCTGGTAGTCGCCGAGCACCGAGTTGAGTGGGACCTACAGAGTAAACTGTCTGGGGCTGGAAAGGTGGGCCAGGGTGACAGAGCCTGCCTTGCTGCAGGCCACCTCAGTTGGGTCCCTGGCAGAGTGAGGCAAGCTCCCCCACCCTATAGAGCTAGGTGCACCCCCCAGCACTACCCCTGGGTGAGCTTCAGTGCCTCACTGTCGCATGGTTCATGGCTGTTACTGGGCCACGTGGCCAACTCCCCTTGGGGCTTCTTGCAAAGTCGCAGGCGGGACACAGCTCCAGCCCAGCCCTGGCACACCTCAAGCACTCTCCAGATGTGGACATGATATCGTCATACTGCTTAGGGGACGAGGGCAGCTCGGTCCAGAGAACATGGAGCACTGTCCACTCCCCCGAGGAATGATTCAAGTTTCTGTGCTGCTCCTTGGACACTCAGGTTGGTTCTGAGAAAAGAGTCAGAAGATTCTCTTGCTCTGATCTGCAAGAGCCTTGCTCGGGACATCTTTCTGGGAGCCCCATCTTCAGAGCCTCTACATTGAGTCGGGCCCGTTGGTTGTCCGTTGCTCTACTGTTCTGACATTGACCATGGAAAAGTTAGCACCACCTGGATCCCTAGGGAGCTGCCATCCCGCCTCTCCAACCGTCACCACTCACTTCTCCACTTGAGCCCCTGCTGGCCCGGACACACCTTGGCGTCCCCCACACTGACCTCTCCCAGTTCTTTTGCTGTAGCCCAAGATCCTAGGTCTTCTCTTTAATCCCATCTACCTGTGTCTCCTCACCATGTAGCTCCTTCAACCACCTGGTCCAGCTTCCTAGGGCAGCACCTTGAACATCACAGTCTTTGAGCATCCTCAGCTTCCCCACAGACTTCGGTCTGTTTCCCAGGGAGACTGAGTGCCTGGGAGATGGTGACTTTGGCATCCGTGCACCGGCACCTGGGCAACCTCGGCAGAAACATCGCCCAGGCGGCCACTCAGCCCTCCAAACTTCAGGCAGGTGCCCGGATGGGGGCCCCATTGGTTTCCTGGTCAAGATGTGCATTTTAAAGCAGTCGCTCTCTCGGCTTCGCGCCCTGTCTCTGCGCCCATGGGAAACTCACCTCCTATTTCCTAAGGAAAACAGAAGTCCTCTGTGGGGTGGGTGTTGGCCGAAACCCCTGCTCCGGTCCAATCTAAGACCGTCGGGATAACCCTGCATTCTCTGAAAACTTATGCCCTTGCCAAGGCCTTTGTTCCAGGATTATCTTGTTCCTCGGCTATGTACTGTTTCCCTCAGTCCGTGAAGGAATTGCAATCAATGTCGAAACTGCTTCGGCTGACCCACTTTAATGCCACCTGTGTGCTCATGTCCCTCCCTCAGCCGCTGCCCCCTCTGTGTTTCCTTTCCCATGAAACCCCTCTAATGGGCTCCCTCTACCCACCCCCGTTCTTCCCATTAACCTTCTTTACCGAGTTACGAAAATTTGTGAGCACGCAGCAAAGGGCGATCGTCAAATGAACGCCCCCTGAACCAGCTCTCCCCCTTTTCCTCCTCTCCCAATATTTGCTTCCCATCTTATTTTTGCTAACACAGAGGAAGCCTGCCGCCTCTGTTTATCTTTCCGCCATCTCCCTTCTCCCTCCCTCCCCAGAGATAAGCAACCTGAATTCCGTATTTACTCTATTTACCTTGGTGCTGGTGGATGTCTGTCTGCAGAAGCAAAGTTTGTTTTGGAGGGAGGGCGTTGCTCATAAGCAGTGCTCAGCAGACCTGGGGGCCATACTTGGTGAAACTCAGCAGCGTTGAGGCCTGGCCATACTGGAGGCCTCCACTTGTCATCCTCCATGGCACCTGGAGGAATTTGGGGGTCTGTGTATGCAAGACATGTCCCCAGGTCTCTAAGCATCTCCCCGGCCTGGCGCTCTAGGCTTTGCATTTCACGTAAACTGCACGTCCATTCCGTGTCCTGCATAATGCGGCCATCGGAATGCATGGGACAGAATGTGTCTTTTCCTTAGCGTGACCTAAATACCTTTCTTAGACACAAAATCAAAACTCCTTCCTGCCAGCATTGAGTAGGCACGGACACTTCACTGGGCTGGCTCGTTCCTGTCGCTCCTCCATGTGACAGCTGTCCTTGTGTATTTTTTTTTTGAGGGGGTCACACCCGGCGATGCTTAGGAGTTACTCTGGCTCTGCACTCAGGAATTACTACTGGTGGTGCTCAGGGGACCATCTCAGATGCTGGGGATCAAACCCATGCCGCATGCAAGGCAAACACCTTACTATTGCTCCAGCCCCTGTCCTTGTGTTCTGACTAAAGTTCCGTGATGATTAGGAAGGACAAACTCTATTCCTGGTTGGGAGGCGGGGGGCTCCCAATGGTGTTCAGGGGCCTTGGGGGGACTGGCTGACAGTTCACTGCAGGGGCCTAGGCTGTGCTGGTATAGGGCTCTGGGAATCCAGGGGATCACCCTGATGGTGTCGGGGAATTAATCCCAACTCATGTGCACACTCTCCCCCAGCTCCTCATTCCTCTTTTGTTTGGATTTTATGGTCCTACCCAGCCGTGCTCAGGGCTTCCTTCCCTCTATGAGTTCAGGGATCACCTAGGGGTGCTTTAGGAGAGAACTTGGGTCGGCCATGTGCAAGGCGAGCGCCTTAACCCTCACATCATCTCCCCCCACAACCCCGTATCCCATGCTGACCACATCCAGGCCACTGGACTTTGTGTCCCATGGCACGTGTTCCTTCGCCTGCGGGGGCAGGAGTGTGGGCATATTTCTAGTTGGTGTTCTCCACTGCTCAGTGCAGTGAACATTCTCCCGGGCTGTGGCTGCTTTTTCAGTGGCACTTTGTCATATGAAAGTTCTAGGCTTTAATATTGTTTCCTGTATTGATTTTTCTTTCTTTATGGCTGAACTCTGTGTCTTATTTTGAGAAACACTCTTTCACACCCAGAGGTCATATAGGTATTTCTTCTGTTTTCCTAAATGTTTTAATGTTTTGCTTCTCACTTTGGCGTTAATCTACTTTGAAGTGAACTCGTGAATGGCCTGGGAGGGTGGGAGGGAGGTATCTGATTCAGTATTTCTACCTGTGCATCATCCGTCGTCTTCCACCCATTTATTAAGTCCTGCCTCTATCCCCTTGAACCTTGTCACCATCAAAGATGGCAGCGAGAATGGGACATATCAGTAATATGGGGAACAATGTGTGTTGGCAAGGATATGGTGAAAGTGGTACCTTCATCCGCTGCTGGTGGGGATGGTCTCTGGTTTGACCCCTATGGAAAACAGTGTGGAGAGCTCTCAATAAACTCAGAATTGAGTTCCTGTATCACTCAGCAATTCCACTTCGGGGCATCTATCCCAGGAACAGAAAAAGATAACTCAAAATAACATGTACACACCATTATCCACTGCAGCACTCAGTACAATAGCTAAGATTTGGAATCACCCTCGATGTCCAACGACAGTAAGTGGATTTTGGAGTTGTGGCATATGAACACAATGGAATAACACACAGCTGCGAGGAATGTGAAATCAGGCAAATGGTGGCAACATGAATGGAACTGGATGATCATGTTAAATGAAATAAGCCAGAAGGATAAACATGGGATGACCTCATTTGTATGTGAGATTTAGAAAAACTGTATGAGGGAATGCAAAGTTTCAAAGGGGGATGTCCTGATCAACCTTGGCCCAGAGTAAAAGGCAAGAAAGAGTGGAGGGGAGGGGAAGAAGAGACAGATGAGAAGTAACGGGGGCTAGGTCAGGTACAAAGGTGGTGTGAAGGAATGACAGAGCCAAATATCAGGCCACACAGTCAACAACACTGAAATCTAGAGACCCAAACTCTAACAACCAAGCTTAGAAAGTTGCCTGTGAAAAGAGCAGGCTGGCGAGAGATGGGGTGTGAATACAGGAGGGAACCTGGGAACACTGGTGGAGGGAAGTTGACACTGGAGGTGGGATTGATGTTGCAATAAAGTATGTCTAAAACTCAACTACGAATAACGTTGCAAACCATGGTGCTTTGAAAAAATGTGAAAAAAAAGTGGAAGATGTAAGCAAAAATAAATATATATAAAAAGATGGCTTATATGGGTCTGTGAGAGCCCTTCAGCTGGACTGTTCTCTTGGCTTATCTCCTGCCAACATCTTTTGTTTTGTTTTGTTTTGGGGCCACGCCCAGCCGTTCTCAGGGTTTTCTCTTGCCTTTGCCCCCAGGGATCGTTCCTGGCAGGACTCAGGGAACCATACATGGTGCCAGGGATTAAACCTGGGTTGGCTAAGTTCAGTGCCAGAACCCAACTGCTGTACTATCTCGCCAGCCCTCTGCCAACATCTTAATGTCTGATTTCTACTTTTATTAGCAATATTGGCATTGTAGGATCCCTACTTCTACAGGTTTTTGCTACCATTCTCAAGACATTTGCTTTCTTCTTGTTACACACTTGAAGATTTCCTTAATTTCCATTAGTCTGAGATTGTGATTGGATTTGCATGTGCCTTATACTTAAGGATAAATTAGGGTGTGTGGACATTTCTGCATGAATATTTTATACATATACTGAATTGTTTCAGACATACACGTGGATAGAAATCACTCAGGTCTTTTTAGGATCTGTACTTAGTCTTAGAAGTTTTCCACAAAGGTCTTTGGCTAAAATTATTTTTAGGCAACATCGATAATTTTTGTGTTAGGTATTTTTTTCCAAGGTGTATCTTCTTATATTTGCTGCTGGTTTATGGGAACACAATTGATTCACGCATTGAGATTCTGTCTAGCAAACTTGCAGAAGTTCTCTTTAGTCTAATTATTTTTCTGTAGATGTTCTTAAGTGGTTTTACTGAAGACAATTATATCTTCTGCGATTAAATTGTTTTTCTTCTTTTCAAGATCATTGTTTCAGTGTTGAATACAAGTGTTATGCATATGTCTATCTTGTCATCTCTGTCAAATGAATGTTGCTGACTTTTTATTATTGAATGTTGATTTTCATTAACTTCTTCACAGCTAGCTATCAAACTAGGTAAAACCTCTGCTGTTATTAGTCTAATAGCCAAGAGATTTTTAAATAGATAAAAAGTACATGCTGAATTTTGTCAAAGCATATTACATTGCCCTGAAATGGGGTTTCTTCCTTATTCTGTGGATGAGGGGTTTATGTTAGTCTTTTTTTTTTTAAATTTTTATTACTGAAACACCATGAGGTACAGTTGCAGACTTAAAATTTTTGTGCTTGGGTTTCAGTTATACAATGATTGAGTTCCCATCCCTCCACCAGTGCCCATTCTCCACCACCACTGATCCCAGTATCCCTCCAACCCCCCCTCCCCCATCCCACCCTGCCTCTGTGGCAGAGCATTCCCTTTTGTTCTCTCTCTCTCTCTCTCTCTCTCTCTCTCTCTCTCTCTCTCTCTCTCTCTGTCTCTCTCCTTTTGGGTGCTATGGTTTGTAAAAGAGGCATTGAGTGGCAATCACGTTCAGTCTGTAGTCTACTTTCAGCATGCATCTCCCATCCTGGGAGGATCCTCACAACACCCTTTATTTGGTGCTCCCTTCTCTATCTGAGCTGTTTTTCCCCCTAGCATGTGTGGCTGGCCTCCAAGCCATGGAGTAAACTTCCTGGTACTTATCTTGGTTAGCCTCTTTTCTTCCTTTTTTTGGGGGAGGGCTTTTTAAGGGGGGTGACACTCAGCAATGCTTAGGGGTTACTCCTGGCTCTGCACTCAGGAGTTACTCCTGGCAGTGCTTGCGGGACCATATGGGATGCTGGGAATTAAACCCGGGCTGGCCATATGCAAGACAAGCGCCCTACCCACTGTACAATTGCTCTCGCCCCTAACCTATTTTAAAATAAAACCTTTGGATTTTGAGGACTCCGGTCTGTGAAGTTTTTAATTTATTAAACTATCCTTCATGACATAGAGTTTAACTTGCCTTTACTATTAGGCTGACTTTTCCTAGAAAAGCATCTGGACCTGGACCTCACTGTCTGTTTGGCTAGG